ACCTTTTATTGGGCCAACTTCTGCAGGCTCTTGTGATAGCAGCTGAAGGGAGATTCTAGCTAACTTATATGGCTACATCCACTGTAAATTAGGAGGGGGGAAAAGCATCAGCAAGTTAACTTCAAGGTTTTTGTCACCACAGATGTTTCACAGGGTTGTATTAAGGTTAGTTATTCTCAATAGCTGCATCATGTATGTGTTTTCCACAGCAGCTTTTTTAGGAATTGGGCATTATGCTGATTTACACTTTGATAGACATGAATGAGGAGTTTGGGAATTGCGCGGACTAACTGCTGCACTGCAAAAGAGTAAGTGTGACCTGAACAGAGAAGCCAAAAGGACCCATTGACAAGGACTGCTTTGCAATAAATGAAGGTATTTACTTGAAAAGTGGCCTGTAAAAAGGGCCTATAAAATTGTCCTGGTATTTGTTTGAGTTCTGTTCATAGTACAAGAAAATATCTTGCTGCTGCTGCTACATTCTTTTCTTTTATGGATGTGGATGGCAAAGACCAACAAATCAATTTCTACTTTCCCAAAAGAGACAGAATTGAGTGGCTCAAGAAAATAAGCACCATTTTTTCCCCATGCAGTGTGGAAAAAGTGACCATGTAACTTTTCTAAATTGTCTTGTTTGCATGCCTGAGGTCTAAAAGAATTAGACAATATTGTGACTGGTTCGGTCACAGAGACCCCCTTGGGACTGTCACCTGATGTGCTGAAACTACCTCTGAGCCCGTTTTCTTTGCCAGCTTGGGCCTCCAGAACCCCGTGTTGTTGAGCCAGACACACTAGCCTGCTACAACACAGACCCAGGGTCTGAACCACGCCCCCAAACCTGCAGACTTAACTGAAAACAGCTCAGCAAGTGCTCCTGTCTCCAGCACCCAGACACCCAGCTCCCAATGGGATCCAAACCCCAAATAAATCCGTTTCACTTTGTATAAAGCTTATCCAGGGTAAACTCAAATTGTCCATCCAGGGTAAACTCAAATTGTCCACCCTCTATAACATGGATAGAGAGAGATGCACAGCTGTTTGCTTCCCCAGGTATTAATCACTTACTCTGGGTTAGTTAATAAACAAAAGTGATTTTATTAACTATAAAAAGGAGGATTTAAGTGGTTTCAAGTAATAACAGACCGAACAAAGTAAGTTACCAAGCAAAATAAAACAAAACACGCAAGTCTAAGCCTAATACATTTAAGAAACTGAATACAGGTAACTCTCACCCACAGAGATGTTCCAATAAGCTTCTTTCACAGACTAGGCTCCTTCCTAGTCTAGGCCCAATCCTTTCCCTGGTACAGTTAGTTAGTTCCAGCTCAGGTGGTAACTAGGGGATTTCTCATGACTGGCAGCCTCCTTTGTTCTGTTCCACCTGCTTTTATCTCTTTGGCACAAGGCGGGAATCTTGTGTCTCTCTTGGTTTCCACCCCTCTTAAATGGAAAAGCACCAGGTTTAAGATGGATTCCAGAATCATGTGACCTCGTCAGATGTCCTGTGAGACCTCATTCTTCATCCCTTACACAGGAAGGCTTGCAGGTAAACAGCTATTTACAGCCAATTGTCCTAGTCAATAGGAGCCATCAAGATTCTAAACCACCATTAAGAGTTAACTTCATATTTCTAGTTTTTGATACAAGACTGATGCATACATACAAATAGGATGACCACACTCAGTAGGTTATAAGCTTTGTAATACCTTACAAGAGACCTTTTGCATAAAAGCACATTCCAGTTACATTATATTCCCATTCCAAGCGTATTTTCATAAAGCATATGGAGTGCAACGTCACAAACGTGTTTTATAACAAACCCATTGTGTGCTCTTGTGTTACCGCCCTGGAATAGTTAAGATTAAGATTTTGTAAAGTACATTAGAGGCGGCAACAAAAATAACTGAGAAATGATTGCAGTAGATGTTCTAGATACTAATGCTGGAGCAGCGTTAGATTAGTAGAACATAGTCTTTAGATTTCTTGTGTTCATTCTACAGGAGAGAGAAGAAATTCAGGGAATGGATGTCCTGAAGGATATGGAAATACATAACCACTAGGTGACTGTGTAAGTTGAGGACTGATATTGGAAAAATGGATAAGCAATAAGACAACATTTATTAAGTAACACTATTCTAGAGCATCAACTCTGTCTGAACAAGAGTAAAGAATTGTGTGGTCAAAACATGTCAAACTCAGATTTTTAGTGATGAGTTCCTTGGTTGCAGTTATAAGATAACATAAAAAGGCAATGTGTGCAGGAAGGAAAATTACAATTTTTACTTAAAACAGGCCAAAGACTAGCTTTATATCCTATGAAAATAATTCCTTGCTTCTGTTTGAGAAGTTAATACAGAGTTTGTTTGATAATGATTGGGGTCATTTTAGTCATTAAGATAAAAGCCTCCGGAGGATTCCTGATTTCTGGATGTTTCTAATACTCAGTTCTGTGATATTCATACTACATAGATCAGGGAGCATAATTTCAGTAGTGTAATATAAAAGATAGCTGCAATTTTCCTACAGAATGTGCTACTCATTTCTCAGAGATTGGGAGGTTTAACCATTGGACAAGTCAAAAGACTTGTTAACACTCAGGATGCGAATATCCTTCTTGAGAGTGCAGAGTAGGGTAGTTACCCATCCCCCTTTTCTTTCCTCCCTTTGGCTAATTTCTGTCATGGAGGAGGGGGGTCTGGAATCAGAGATTGGGTTGAGGAGAGCAGAGGAAAGGCCCATTTGAGAGGGATTTCTGGCAACACAGCACTTAATTTATTTGTAGGAGTTTAATTCACCAAGTAAAATAAAGCCTGAACACTGACTTATTTCCTTGCTATAAATCAAGTACGCAGCAAGCTCCCTCAAGTCAACTCATTCTGTTCTGCAGTCACACACACAAGTTTATATTGATTTTAATTTGAAGGCAAATGCAGTTAATTTTCCCTTGACACTTGCCCTCTAATTTCTTGTATTACAAACAAGGAAACTAATGTTAACTTGTCTAAGTAAAAAAAGGTTAAGTACTTTGTTCCCACTAGGCTGAAACTTATTTTTCTTTTCCCAGACACTCTGATCACAAAAGAGGAGACAATCCTAAATTTAAGTGACTGCACTCTAAACATGGAACTCTACTAATCAAAGAAAAAGATGTCCAAGTGATCTCATCCAATGAAACACAGCATGGAAATGCACACTACAATTAATCCTCAAATGAAGGAGGCTTGAAAGTACTAATTTTAAAAAAAGACTCGGGTAAATGTTCCAATGAAAATATGTATTTAATATACAAGAGTTTCTGAAGAAAGTCTATTTGAACATCTTTGAAGATTAATTTCACTAACGACATACGCAAGATTACAGGTATCACAAAATTCTGCGTTTAGATTTCACCTCTGATGCACTAAGTGACTTATTTCTATAAACTTATAACAAAGCTTTGAGACATCAGGTGGACTAGATGTTCAAATATTATGGTGATCGCACACAAGAACAGGAATGTAAAGCAAGGACATTAACTTAAAAATTATTTATTTGCAATACAGAAAGGGAGCACAAATCTTTACATTCTTCCTATTGATTCATGACAATCGTTGCTTTCCTATAATTAACTGCACATTTATTCCATTCCTTGGTTAGATAGTTTTTCTTGAGAGTGGTGTAGGGCACAATATTCTTGAATCCCTGCAAAGAGGCAAAAACAAGGTAGTAGTGAACTTATTTTATGTACTGTTGATCACTGCATGGATCTATTGCCTGCTGTGGGCATAAGTCACAAAATTTTGTCTGTCATATTACCCTAACTTATATTTGAAATGGTTTAAAGAATTTTAGACCCATTTTTCTTCTGCTATTTGAATACTTTCTGCATTTTGTACATTTGCTCTTCCAGAAGTGTAAGAGTGACATATTCAAAACTTCACTCACTGGTAAACTACCAAATTCCATTTAAGAAATGCCTGCTCATAGAAAGTTAGCAAAACTATTTTATTTTGTCAGTAAGAGTACATGATGTATTTGCTGGAACTCAATGAAGGTCAAAAGAAAGCCACACTTATTTTAGTTACCTGGAGTTAACTAGCTATCATTTTAACATAATTTAATTGTTTAAAATATAAGTGGCTGAAGTAATTCGAGACAAGTAAAGAGATAACAAATGGTGCAATTTCATGATTCTTATACTGTACGTTCTAAATATAAAAAAATATATATGCAGAGATATACCTATCTCATAGAACTGGAAGGGACCCTGAAAGGTCATTGAATCCAGCCTCCTGCCTGCACTAGCAGGACCAAGTTCTGATTTTGCCCCAGATCCCTAAGTGGCCCCCTCAAGGATTGAACTCACAATCCTGGGTTTAGCAGGCCTATGCTCAAACCACTGAGCTATCCCTCCCCCCATTCTGCCAAAATTATGCTGTTGACACCTTCATAACATATTTTAGAAACTAATTGCTCAGACAAGTAATTCACACGTCAGCCTTTTAACATGACATTCTTACTTTGGATGATATTCCTGTAAGATGAAGTAGCTGGGGACTCAGGTATTTCAGAGAAAAAACATTGGCCTTGATCACAACTTTTTCCCTAAAAAAAAAAAAAAGGGGGGGGGGGGGAAGGAAATAAGCTAAAAACCTTGTGATGCAGGAAAAACAAACAAAAAAAATTGCCTGAAATTTACCTCCCCAAAATTGCTGTACCAGTCCAGTGAACCAAGGGCTTATGTTCTTCCTGGGTCAGTAACACATAAATGAAGCACGGTAGCTATTTTCTTATAGATAGCTATTAGAACTAAGTAGCAGAACAATGTCGTTTTTCAGATTGAGGTCCTAGGTTTTCCGATGCACAATGTGATGAAGTGGGAATGTTCTTAATGTTCTCTCTGAATAATGTGTGGGTGCCTCAGTTTCCCCTATGTCTTTCTTAAGTATCTAGGTGGTTGGATAAGGGTGTGCAATTGTTGCAGAGCCCTAGAGGACCAGTGTGATGCTGTCTGTACAGAGAATGGCCGACACCCTGTCTGCTGGCAACTGATGGCCTGGGCCCCTCCCCTGCAAAGGTGGCAACTGAAGGTGTTGGAGAACAAAGATCAGGTGACCTCCTGGCCCGGGAAAGAGACAAAGGCCAGAAGAGGGGCTAGAGAGTTTCAGTTCGGAGCTGGCTGGGGAAAGAGAGGGAGGCCCAGACCTGGGGTCTGGCCTCCCTGACCCCAAGATGGACCTGACTTAGGGGTCCAGTTTCTGTACCTACAAGCTCTGTTTTGGACAGCGTTCCTGTCATCTAATAAACCTTCAGTTTTACTGGCTGGTTGAGAGTCATGTCTGACTGCGGAGGTGGGGTGCAGGCCCTGTGGCTTCCCCAGAAGTCCCACCTGCACGGACTCGCTGTGGGAAGCGGATACTGACTGCTCTGAGGTCAGACCCAGGAAGGTGGAAGTTTCTTGCCCTGGAGACAGTCTGCTCACAGAGAGGAGACTCCCCCAGAGTCCTGACTGCCTTTGTATGGAGTAGTTCCAGAGCATTGCCCAGTGACTCCGTGACACATGCCCTGACTATACCATCCTTCCATCTACATGGGATGCTGTTCCTTAATTCCATGGAAGAGTAGCACCAAGGTTGTTGGGGGGGGGGGGGGGGGGTAGTGGTGCTGGGGGGTTCCATGGGGGGGCAATGCTGGGGGGGTCCTGGGGGGGGGGTTCGGCGGGGCCGGGGGGTTTCGGCCC